TGGCCTTGGCGGCTGAGGCTGGCATGGACGGAAGGGCTGCCGGAGTGGGGCGGCTTCGCCTCCGCAAGCTGGCGCTCCAGCTGACGGCAACGCTCCTTGTAAGTGGCCTTCTCTTCCCACAGGACCTGCATCTGACCCAGCATTGCCGATCTCTCAACCTCTGCTTTGGAAAGCTGCTGTCGGAGCTGCTCGCACCGCTCCAGTAGCACGGCTTTCTGGAGCCGCAGCTCAACTGTGCTCTTGGCCTCTTCTGCTGACACATACTCATACTCGCGACACTCCTCTTGCAGCCGCTGCACCTCCAACTCGGCATGGGACGGGGCCTGTGCCAGAAGCTCCTTGGTCTTGGCATGCTCGGAAGCTTCTACCTCCGCCGCCTCCAACCGAGCCACGAGCTCCTCACAGCGATTTTGGCACTTGCCGTGCTCCTCCTGCAGCTGCCCGAGCTCCCGCCGCAGCTCCACCACGGCTGACTCCGCAGCTGCAGCACGAGTTGTAAGCTCTTCGCACCGCTCCTTACACTTGGCACTCTCGCTCCGCGCAGTTTGGAGCTCCGCGGTCTTCAATGACACCTCCGCCTCCGCCACAGCCAGGCGATTGCGTAGCTCTCGGCCCTCCTCCTGCGATGTTTGGAGCTCCGCTTCGAGGCGACGGCGCTCGGAGGTCTCCTCCTCGAGCTTCTGCCGCTTCCGCGCCGTCTCCTGGCTCTCGGCCTCCGCGAGCCGCTGCGCGAGCTCCCGGCAGCGATCGCGGATGTGGGGAACCTGCAGGTACGAAGCCGCCTCACGCTCCCGCTGCGCTGCTGAGCCGCGCGGCGCTCCTCGCAGGAGCCCGGCCTCGGAGAAGCAGCCGCCGTACCACCCGTACTTGCCCCACTCGGCCGCGCCGTGCCGGAGCAGCGCCTCGCGGAGCTGCTCCGGCCTCGTCTCCTGGCCCGCGAGCTCTTTCGCGAAGCGCTCCCGGCACCGCTCGAGCCAGGCCTCGGCTTCCTGCGGCTGCGCGGCCCACAAATCCACGAGCCGACGGCTCAGCGCCTCAAGAGCTCGGTCTGGACCAGATTGACCTGGACTATATCGAGCCAAGCGGCCGAAGGCGTCGATGACGGTCGCCAGGGGCCAGCCGGCCGGGACTTCGGTCAGATCTGTGAGAAGTTTTGCTTCGGACTGCTGCGGCATGAGGAAGTGCAGGCTATGGACGGGGGCTGGATTCGTCTCGGAGCCGAAAGGCGCAGCCACGGCAGACAGCATTTGTCGGTTCCCCCTGCAGCCCTTCTGAGCCACACTCAATCTTCATGCGAACTACGGTTCTCGCGGTCGGGTTCGGTTATGCACGGTCTTGTCCATTCATATCGTGCACGTGGGGTTCCTGACTTCCAGTAGGAAGACGGTCCTCAGTGTAGGGAAGTATCACAATGATCGCAGCGAAACAAACACAACAAAAACACTCAGAAACACTAGCACAATATCAATTTGAAAAGCATCGATGCTGATCATGCTCCTGATGATGACGACGACGAGGACGAGGATGAGGATGAGGATGAGGATGAGGGTGAAATGAGGATGAGGATGAGGATGCTGATGGTGAAGGTAATGCTGATGATGATGGTGATGCTGATGCTCCTGATGCTGCGGATGCTGCTGATGACGATCATCATCACCATCATCATCAGCAGATGCAGCAGCTGCTGCTCCTCCATCAGTATTATCGTCATAGCAACTATTATGGGAAGAACCATCATCGCCGTCACCAAAGCAGGCCCACTGGCCTGGCGCATCTTCCGTCGCAGCCCGCGGTCGGGCTCCAGCGTTTTGGTGATGAAGGGGTCATCGGCACCCTCTGCTTCCTTGCGGAAGGGAGAAGGGGTGGAAGGCCGTGGTTCGGGTCCCATCCGAAACCTTCTGTTCCTTGAAACACGGAGCCTGGAAGCTGTTAAACATTCGAGGCACCCATATGGTATGCTATGGGCTTTGCCGGTTCAACGACCTGGGGCTCCAGGCTTCCACGCTGAAGGATCTGAGGCTGTTCATGCGGTCGTTTTCTGAAGCGAAGCCCAGGTTTGGCTTTTTTCAGGCTCAGGGCGTAAACATAGTAGATGAAAGGTTCTCGATACAAGCGTTCCAACAGAACACCGCCAGTATACATGCGGCGCCGGCATTCCCGTGGAGCCCGACATACACTTCAAAAGGCTCGAAGAGCTTCAAAAAGTCTTCGGCATGCAACTTCATCTTGTCTCGTTCCCCAAGGAGCTGAGGGCAGGACGGTGAAGTCCGTGCCATTGCCAGAAGGAGGTGACACTGGCCTCAGGCGCCCCTCTTCTCGGCTCTTCGTCGGGTCTTGGCCTTTACACCTCTAGAGCAGCTAAACGTCAGGCCGCCCTCGGATCGGCAAGCCTAGTCCACTTTTCGGACTACGGTGGACACCATGCGATGCCCTGAAACTAAGTGTCCGATTGAGTTGAGGTCGAAACGCAAGGACTGGTGACGTGGCTACCTTGCTCTTTGCCAAGTCTTGTCTCCGAAGACGGTGAGCTATACCGGCAAACCCAAGCCGTATCTGTCTGAGGAAGGAAAGTTGGAATGTCGGGTGCCTCGAGCTCCGCTTCTCGGTGTCCGGCAGTAGCCACAGAATCATCCAGTCTCCGAGAACAGCACGAATCTGCAAGGAGCGGGCTTTCCGTTGATGTTCTCGGGGGTGTGGGGATATAGAGCTGCAGATTGTTGCTGAATCAGCTGATCCCGGAGCCCCGTAGTCAGAGTCGGGCATGAGGGAGTTCTGGTGCACATGCTCCAAACGGATAGCTCTGCCATTCTGCCAGGCTACTAAATTGGTGGTCGCGGTGCAGGGCGGGATGGTGGGGGTGTGCAGCTTGGGACCGAAGTTTTCGGTGGTTTTGGGTTTTGAGATGGCCACGGTTTGGCTTGGCAATTTTTAAGCCCGGATTTCCGCATACCATAAACCCTCGTCCCCTAAACCCCAAAAAACCTGAACCTTCAACAATGAAGACTTGCGTCGGCAGGCTAGCCCATTGTGAAAGAGGACTTCGGCAACTTCAGCCCCAGCTGGCAAACCCAAAGCTCTAAGCCTGTCCGAAAAGTGTTTCGAACCCCAAGCCCCGGACTCAAAACAATAAGGGTCTCAGGAAAGTGGCTCCAAACCTGGGTTGCAGAGACATGCATCCGAAATGCCCAAAAACCCCCAGAAAAGGGCAAAACACGTCCAGGAGACGTTGCCATTGATGCCACGGTCGTGCACAGAGGCGCTAAAGCCTCAGAAAAGCGGCCGAAGTGCTACATTTAGGGGTTTCAGGGTGAGGGGTTTAGGGTTTAGGAGCCGAATTGCTCACCCGTAACAAGAATGTAGTTCAGGGTTTAGGGTTTAGGGGATCGCAGCCCTGTCGGAGAAGCCAGTGCGCCGTTTGCTTCATGTAGTGAGGAGAGCGTGAGGCTTCCCGTTGCGTAGGATTTAGGGCTTCAGGATGCAAGGTCGAAGCTGACGAGGGAAGCAAGCTACTAAGCTCTGTCCGACAGCCGCTCTGAATCGGTTAGATATGCTTGCACTCCTATGCTGTCATCCTATATACTTTCTTTGTCTTATGGTAGCGGCCACCTCAAAGCGAATTCTAACGTCCCAGCTCGCTGTTTAGAGTTTCGGGCGTGGGGACTCGAACCTAGGGCAAGGTTCAAGTCCTCTACGGTGTCGCTTCCAGCTGGTTGGCTCCGCATAGTTCGTTGGAAGTCCAGGCCCTAGACAACCCGAAATAATGTAGGGGCCTTAATGATTAGAATAGGGTTTTGGGGCCCATTATACTCTTTTTAGAATAAGGAACCCACACAATAATATAGCCAATTATTTCGGCCGCTATAATATGCACCCTCCAGCGGAAACGCTGGGAGTCCGTCTCTGGTCTTTGCTACTCTTCTCGCAGAACTCGATCGTAGTCATGGCCTGCTGGCTTTCCGGTGCACACGCGTTGCAAGGTTGTGCGCTTTTGGGGGGGCTTTTGGGTTCAGGTTCAGGATACGGATACTCTTTGGGGCTGGGGGCTTTAGGTCGCGGTTACAGCTTCGATCTTCGAGCTTTGAATGTCGCTGCGCCAACTCCTGGTGAAGTTGGTGATGGTCCATACCCATCATTCTAAATAGAAGCTGTAACGACACAGAATCCATCTGAAAAGACTGCAGCTGCCGAACTGCGACAGATTCAACAGCCCGAAAGGCTTGAAGGTCTCACGCGGCTGCGGACCAAAGGAGCGAAACAGGGCCCACAAGCTTGGCCGCTTCCTGTGTCCATGATAGGCCTAATCGAAAAGATGCCAGCAGTCAGGTCTGCGAGTGAGGCCTGCAGCATCAGCCAGACGTGGAAGAGGAAGAAGAGGCTGATCCTGGGCTGAAAAGCAGCTTTGGTCGACGAATGTTGGATTCAGGATTTGGGTTTTAGCTTTGGGGTTCAGGACTGGGGCTTACGGATTAGGGCAGGGCTGGGGCCTAGGGTCAGAGTTCAGGATTTGGGGCCTAGGGTTTCGGATCTGTGGGTTTGGGATACCTTTGTTTTTTCTGTTGATTCCCGCAAGATTCCGAAAGCCTAAACCCCGAAATCCTGAAGCCTGTGCTAGGCCCGGCCTCAATGCACCCTGAACCCTGAAACTGTTTACCTCAAGCCTTAGCGAAAGATGACCTAAAGCGCAACGTAAAACTCGAATCTCTACACCTAAATCCGAACCCAAACCCCCAGAAAACCTGCCCTACAACCTCAGCTAAAGCCCTGAACCCTGAACCCCAAAAACCCTAGAACCCCAGAGGCCGGCGCATTTTTGAAGCCGAGGGGCAGGATCCCTAAGAAGGCGGAGAGCGTCTCGGCGAAGAGCACGAGGAACCTGGGCGTTCAGCTCAAGGGCTCTCCACTTTAGGGTTTTTTGTGTTTAGGGTTTAGGGTTTTTTGGGTTTAGGGTTTAGGGTTTAGGGTTTAGGGTTTAGGGTTTAGGGGTTTGGGGTTGTGGGTTTCTGTGGCTAGACCCGGCTAGACCCGAAGGACAAACTTCCCTGTCCTCAGCCTTGAACCAAGCAAGATCTCCCGATTTCAAACAAAGGTGTGGGTTCAAGCATCTTCAACAAGCTGTTTGCGCAAAGCGTCGGGGGCTGGGCCTATGATACAGGGATTGTAGGGATCCTCATGGCGATCAGCCCCGATGGAGACAGATGCAGCTCAAGGTCCAAAAACAGAGCTGCTCATATCTGGGTATAGGGGTTCTGTGTCCATTTCCAGTGCTAGCCACGCATTCAGGATCAAAGTTGAAGCTTTGAAGCCTGGAAGCCAGGCCCTCAAAAGCCTCTAGCTCTATAGCCAGGCGGTCCGTTCCACGAAGCCTTTGATCCTGCGCTCATCTGTGCTCCAAAGCTCCAGCATTCGTGTCTGACCCCCCCACACCCTGAAGTCCTGGAGACACACAAACACACACATTCCCGCCAAACGTTCCTCACAAAGTCTGTACAACATCTAGCAGACAACGTCAACCCCAGACCCTCAACCCAAACCCTAAACTCTGAACCCCAGTTTTAAAAGGAGATGCAGAGCTTGTAGTCATGCGATTCTGCAGCACGTGCTGTTCTGAACTGCTGCACCCGTAATTAGGAAGACGTCCTACACCTACGCCCCAGAAACCTAAACCCCATGTAGATCCGAAGCCTACCTTAACCTACCATAACCCACTGTTTTGAAGGTCCTTATTATAAGCCCTAGTATGGAATTTCTAGGGACCCTGCAAAAAAAGTAGGTTTTGGTAGGTTAAGGTAGATTCCGAATCCCCGAACCGAAATCACACCCCGTCTGAGCCCAGCGCATCTGCGCGAAGGCAGAGTTCTGCTCCACAGCAGATTCGACGGTCCTTAGAGAAGCGAACCGACCCTCCATCTGCTCAACCGTGTTTGGGGTTTAGGGTTTAGGGTTTGGGTTTAGGGTTTGGGGTTTGGGGTTTGGGGTTTGGGGTCTAGGGTCTAGGGTCTAGGGTCTAGGGTTTAGGGTTTAGGGTCTCTTTAGGGACAACTTCCGTACTACGTCTCATGAGCCTGTAAGCAGCATCGTCGTTTTTTTTTCAGGCAGATCAGCAATAAATTGTCCCGTTGCTTCTGGTATAAACTGTTTTACGATTACCGGTGTGAGAAACTTTGGGCGTGCAATTTCTAGATCAGCAAACAAGGCAACCAAAGCCAAGCCCACAAGCCGAAGTCTTGAACGAAAGTGCACGGAATTCCTAAGTTTTCTCGAAACAACAAGATGCCCAGTCCCTAGACTTGAGCGTTTTTGGAATCGCCCTGCAACCAAGCATACTTTCCTGACCGTACGGCCTGAAGCCCGAACCCCAAATGCTGAAGTCCCGGAACCCTCGACTAGGTGTCCCAGCGGGATCATGGTGATCGTGATGAAGTTGCAGGCTGCCGCGGAGTACAGGAGCAGCAGGAAGAAGTACTTGTGATTCCTGCGAGACTCAACTCTCTCTCCCGCCTCTCGCCCTTCAACTGAAATAGGGCGGATGAAGCAAAACCCTCTAGTGAGCTTCTGCGAGAGCTGCCCCGAACACCCTGTGAAACTTCAGGTGCACACTCGCCGCATGGCACCGAAACCAAACCGACTTCCGTAAGCCCCTCAACTATCTTACGCAGATCCTGCAGTTGGCTACCCTGCCATTAAACGCTTTGTACCAACCGCAAATCAAGAACTCGACCTGGCACTTTTGGGGCCTGCGGAAGACTTCAGAATCCAAAACTCCAAGTCCTACCGCCTTAATGCAAGACTCCTCGCCTCACTCCTGCCCAGGGGCTTCGAATCCGAACGCCCTGTTGAATCGGATATTGAATCCTCAAACCTGCACCCTCGACCGAACCCAAATCCCACACCCTAAATCTCAAGTCAGACCGCTGCCTAAAGCCCACGCAGTTGTAGATCCAGGGACAATGGTGATCCATCTTGAGGATACACTTCTTGCCTCAATGGGGCTCCATGGTTTAAGGCTTCAATACTGAAGGACAAACCAGCTTGAACATGAATTGAGACGTGGGGCTGGTACACGGTTGAGGGGTCACGGCCCAGCGTTTGGGATTTATGTGCACCCACCCCTGAGATTGCAAGCATGGTCGAAGAGCCAAACCTCAACGCCCACACTCTTTCTAAGAACCTCGGAATCGGTGCAACCAGCATCAGAGTCTCAGAGTCTCAGAGGGCCCAGCAAGCAGAGAGGAAGAGGGGGTTTAGTTAGGACATCCATCCCGAAGATCTGACTTCCTCAAAGAATCCGAAACGCAAACACCTATCCAAACATCCCTGAGTCCTGAAAACGCTAGACCCTAAACCCTGAATCACTGAATCTATGCAACCATCGCCAAAGGCATCAGGGGCAACTCGGGTCCCAGCACACACGACAATGATGAGTTCTGTCGGGCTTGTACCTGGCGGACAAAACAGGCACCTGATCAAGTTATGCTACTGCTAGCAGACCCGACGTCCTAAACTCTGACAGTGCTAGCTTGTCGAGAAGCCCCCACAATTTTTTTTCCGCCGAACCTAAGTAAACCTAAACCCAAACACATCAAATACCCCTTACATCGCAAGTCGCGAATCCGGAACCACTACTCCGCACGGGCGGGGCACTTCGCACACCATTTGCAGTGCCGTCGCTCGCCGGTCTTCTTCGTCTCCTACGCAGCTAGTTGGGGGTTCTCCGCGGTTCTTAGGGCCTTGGCTACAAGCTATTGGTGCTTTGAAGAGCCATAAGGGACTTGGGGAATTTTGGTTTGGGGTTCCAAGGTTTAGCTGCGGTCTTGGGGCTTTTGTTGAGAGCCACAAAAAGCTTAGAGCTTGGTGGTTTTGGAGCCTCGGGCCTAGTTTGGAGATTTGCGGCTTCAGAGAATAGGCTCTCCTTATTTTCGTGACACGAAATAAACCCTAAACCCTAAACCCTAAACCCTTAGCAAGAACCCAGACTCAAAGCCCGGAGTCTCGCGTCCTTCGTCTCGGGCTGCTGCACGGTCTGGTCTGGCACATACTCCCAGCGAGGGTCTTCCTGCAATTCAAGGTTTAGGGTTTAGGGNNGTTTGGGGTTTAGGGTTTAGGAATTCGAGACTCGCAGAATTTAATCTGCGTTGGGTGGTTCTGAAAGTTACAGTAGGGGTCCTTCTGTCCCAATCTACCCTGTATGGTCAAAAGTTCTAAAATCTACAACTTACACCTTCGCGATTGCCATGCACGTGTCATACAAGTACTTTGTGGACACGAACTGCAGTGCATCGCTGCAACGACTTCATGCTTCCGTAGAAAGCTGCCCCTGCATCAATTAGACCATGATTGCTGCACCGGCCCTGCGTCGCGAAAGTCTGTAGCTCCTTCCCCGAGCGTCTGTCGGGATTTCGGCAGAAACGGCGCTTCGGGCCACAAGAGCCCCAAGCGGCACTCTTTTTTTTTGCAAAAAGCAGCTCAAGAACTTTGGCGAAAGCCCCAA